AACCCAAGGTCTTCAAGTAAAGATGTTTTTTCTGTTGATGTACAATCAAGATTCACTTGCTAGGGGTCAACACAAGTACATTCCAATGTGTTTCCTTCACACAAACTCTTTGGGATGTTAATCAGAAATATTTAAAGTACTAACATGATTTCTGAAGCAGTTTTCTAGAGTTTACAAATACCACAGTGTTGACTGTTTACAACCCTAATTCTGTTGTCTGCTGTTGCTGTAAGACATGAATGCAAAAGGCCTGGTCACCCAGCAAACAAAGGATACAGACTGGAGAAGTGCCAAGGAAATGAAAAGGTTTTATATTCTTCGCAAGAACATTTGAGTCACTTGACCTACTAAAAGTGTTTTGAGGTGCATTCACTGTTGATTGCGTTTGTTTTCCAGGCTCACTGCCACTACATCACAGTGAAAAACTTTGCAGAAACTGTGGAAAAACTCGAGACCAAGGCTGGCATCCAGAGGATTATGAAACATCTCTGTGACCTCTTTGCACTACACGGGATCTTCTCGAATACAGGAGCCTTCTTGCATGATGGATACATATCTGCAGCTCAGATGGACATGGTCACAGCATCCTACCTGGACCTCCTGGCTGTTATTCGGTGAGCTGCTCTGGCAGGAGACACACAGCTATTCAGTTTGTCCCTGTAATAGATATAAAATGGTGCTACTGTACCTATGGCAACATCTCCACAGTCAATTCACCTCATTCAGTTTTTATTTTCATTGCCTGGCAGCACTACAAATTGATTGAAACATCTACACAGAGCTTGTTTTCATGGTAAAACAGACCATGACAAGTGTCCAGCTCCTCTGCAATCTCTGAGAGTTCTGTAACATGAAATCTTAAATTATAAATGAAGAAGTCCTGAACACTTTATACCATTTTCAGTAGAGCGAAAACACGAAAATGTGTAGTCAGAGCATCACTGGCAGGAGGCAGCCACAGCAACCCATCACACACTGCAGAATCTGCTCAAGCTGCAGCTAATACAGCCCACTCTGTTGCCATGGCTGAGCTGCAACTGGTACCCAAACAATCCTGCCTACAGCTACTTCAGATGCATCTGCTCAACACAATTTGTCACTAACTCTGTGAATTCTGAGTTAAGGTTTTCACTTACCACAACACTCACAAAGGCCTTTTGACAAAGCATTCATCTTTCACTACTCAGTGCTGTTTGTTTAGAACAGATTATGGTGCAGAGAAGTTTTATGTAAAATTCTACTTAAGCCACGTGGAGAGAAACAAGAACACACCACAAGCAAGGGCTGAACAGGGCTGAGCCAAAGAGCAAGGCTTTTCAGAACTGATCGTGGAATCTGAGTTAAGTGATGAGCTCAACATTAACATTTGCAAAAGACTAACATGTTGTTGCCTCTGGAATTCATTGCAACTTCTGTTTCAGTCCACGCCTTGTTAACAGGATTCAAGAATGAAGTGAGTATTTACATATTTACAATTAGTAGAAAGAATACAAACACTTCCTGGTCTGTAGCAAAATCTCAGCCTTTCCCAAACCCCCGAAGAGCCCTTACCCAAAAGGAACTGGAAGATGCAAACATTTTGCATCCTTGGGTGTGAGGTAGAGCCAGCAGGACTTCCTACACGCAGGACAATGGGAGGACAAGGAAAGAGAAACCATCTCCTGCTTAGAAGAAGCTGCCTGTGCTGCAGCTCTCAGTTGCTGTCAGACTGGCTCCTGGTGTGGGTCAGGGTTGCTTAGCTCTTAGAGCCACAAAGAGAATAAAATACGTCAACACCTCATGATGAGGTAATAGAAATACTGAAAGGTAGATGGAGGTTGGAGATCAACAAAGCACTTCACATCAATCCAATAGCAACCTTATTCCATTTTATAAGACAAACACCCACAGCGTGAGAAAAATAAGACAAAAATCAAAAGAAAGAACTGGCAGAGACTGCTGAGAAAACATCTGATGTGAGACTGAGTCCTGAATTAGGGAATTAGGGACAGAGCCCAGGTGATTACAAGACCTGCAAACTCCCATTCAACAGCACAGACAACTCGGGGTATTAGTAGAACATCGCAGAACTGTTAGGGTTGGAAGGGACCTCAGGACATCATCTAGTTCAATTCCCCTGCCAAGGCAGGGTCACCTAGAGATGCCTCTGAGGAATCAAAAGAAGCAGGCTTTTCCCCCCAGTATAGACAAGGAGAAAAACTGGCACAGACCTTCTAGGCTGAGGAACCTGGACAACTGACTTCCAAGTTCATCTTTATCTTCCCCCCTTACAAAGCAATACCTGCTTCAGTAACACAAATGTCACTGCTCTGCTCCGTAGGAAGGACGCCGTTCCACTGGTGGATGCCTTTGACTTCACAGACAAGAGCCTGAACTCCGCGCTGGGCAGCTACGACGGGCAGGTTTATCAGCGGCTTTACGAGTGGGCTCAGAAGTCCCCCACCAACAAGGTATGGATAAGTTACAGCCAGACAGCTTCCCCATTAGCCAGAGCAGAAACTGTTTGCTTTCCTTCTAATAAAAGTGATACAGATGAAAGACATGAGCTTTTAATTCCTTGTATCTCACTCTGAACAATGACCTGTGACACTCCAATCGTGCCACCCATAGTCTGAGCTCAGACATTTAACCTAAAAATGAGTTAGAGCCTGCAGAGTACTAGAGCCTGTGCCAGGGAGATGGGCTGTCATGTGCCACTCATGTGGGTTTGGTTTTTAAATTTGTATCACTGAGGTTACATTGTACAAAATAAGCTAAAATAAGTCTGTATACATATTATGAAACAGCACTAAATGCAGGGTATTTTATATACACTGATACTAGTGCAAAACTTGAGTTTTTTAATAATATGTTTAAACAGAATGAGTATAAATGTTAAACAAGGCAATTTCATCCTTCATGGTCTTTAGAACTTTACTTTCTCTTCTTAAGTCATCCATATTGTGGAGTAATGTAAAATTCTGCACGATGTAAATATGCATTGCTCTGTTTGAAAACTCATTTTGCCCTGAATGAGATTTTTACTGTGTTAATCAGTAGCCCTTTGAAATCCTACAGCTAAACACAAAATTTGCCTTCAGCAAACATTCAAGTCCAAGCATATTTTTTGAAGTTAAATAGTATTCTGTCCCATTTGGGATGAGTTGTGTGCTGGTTATGAAGGATAGTACATACTATAAGGAATGAGATCTTGCACACAGTTGCAATAGCTGGTGGTTTGTTGTTTGCTTTTTTTTTTTTAATAGTCTAGCTTTCTGTATTCCAGAGATTGTTCTTAAGAAAAAAATTATAGCCTTTCTGTTCTTAATTGCCATTAATTCCCTTCCCCATTCTCTTTCTGAACAGATGAGCCCAGCCTACGAGAGGTATTTGAAGCCACTTCTTCACAACGCACTATCGAAATTATAAAGAACGTGTTCCAAGTGAAGGACACACGTTTCCTCCTGTTCTTTGTGCAGCAGTACATTTATGAAGCATCAGTAATGACTAATCAGAATTAATAATCAGTTGCTTACTTGCAGTTACAACAAGTCTGAAAGATTCTCAGCGAGCCATTTGCAATTAGACAGACGCCAAGCAGCGCTGAGTGGTACCCGCTGCTATGAGACAGCCCAGGAATGGTCCAGGGTTCGCTGTTTTCTAACCTGAAGTGTCCTGACAGCATCAAAACAAACAGCTTCCTTATTCTTTTTCTAAATCCACTATATGATGATTAAGGAAGAAAAAAAACCCCACCACCACATTATGAATCCCCTCTCAGGGTGTTGGAACTATACAGTGCCTTCAAAAAAAACCCCAAAACAACCAACTGTACTGAAAAATCCAGTGAAAGTAAAATTATAATCCTTCGTTTCTAAGAACAACTTGTTCTCTTCAATCAAAAAGTATATTAGAAAGTACATCTGTTTGGACAATTAAAATAGCTCTTGACTTGCTCAGCAGTGGAATATTCCTGCCTAATGAAGATTCAGACAAAGCTGATGCCAGCTTCAGTCTGCAGAATTTACCTTCCCATTAATAGGGCCGCTCATACTGTCTTTCTATAAATCTTGGTCTCCAATAAAGTGTATTATTTGGAATACTGCTTATCTAATTATTACACTTCATAATTATGGAAAGGGCAGGCTGATCCAGGCTAGTCGTTAATTTGCTAGTAAATGAAGTGTTGCAAAGAACATCTTCTGATTATAATTCAATGCCAGTTAACACAAGTATTTCTTACCACGTTGCAAGAAAGAAACAACCACTTTTCCTGAGCTTCATCAGTTCTGCTGCTCTTCCCTCCCTGATAGGAAGTATAAAGCTCTTGCTGCTGCCTCTTATTACATAAGTCAAAAACCTGCATGTATAAACAGGGAGAGACAAAATATAATAGACAAATACACTCCCAAAACAGGCCTTTAGAGTGAGAGATGGAATGGAAAGTTCCCACCTACTTGTGACAAGAACTTCACAGGATCCACTCCACAAAATAGGTATCAACTCTCTTACTCCCAACAGCATTCAAGTAAAAGCATAACCAGAAATTCTATTCATAACTATGACAAAGTGCCCAGGATAAGCAGAAATGTCAATGTGAAATAGAGTAAAGCCACAGAACTTGACTATCACCAGAAACAGCACTCTGCAGTTAAAATTATATATATATAAAGTCACTATAGTGCTGTGAACCAGATAACACTATTTAGCAGCTACAGTATTGAGGCTCTGTGTTCCCTCCATCCCTATCCTTTAGCTAGTCCAAATACATGCCATCTTTCTATCAGTCTAAAGCAGTTTTCAGAACATAAGCTTTGTCTATAATGAGGACATTTGATTCAACTGATTAACAGAAAAAGGAACAAATTCTATCAGCAATGGAGGAAAATGGGGCCCTACCAGAGCACCCGACTTTGCAGCACAGAAAAACGGGGTTTGGGTGGGGCTTTTTCTTTTGGTTGGGTTTGTTTTTTTAAGTATGAGAGTTCTAAAAGACAAAAAGAAAATACAAAACAGTATTCTGTATTTCACATTTTTATTAGCTTCTTGCTGGCAGGCATTACACTTGGGAATAATATTGCACCAGGCATTAAAAATATGAATTCTACCACAGGGACATTTTGCATTTAGAATCCAATATAAATATTTCTAATCATATTTCCATGGCTACAGATAATATTTGGTTGCTTGATTTATATGCATAGAAAGAAACAGTTGTCATAACTGTAAGAAACTGTACTTATCAAGTACTTTTAAAGGGTGGGATTTGTTTTCCTAGAATATTACAATACTGTTTATTGATTTAGAAACTAAATTAGTCTACACAATAGCAGCTTCTCCCCAACTGCATTTAAAATTCTTTTTGTTTCTTGCTCCCAGTGTCATAGCATTAGATGGATTAGAAACCATTTAGACAGAGGTAATTTTAGCACTTTGAGTCGAGTCAGAGAATTGTGTTAATGACACAAAATACCCTATTGTACTAATTCTTCGGACTCCCTCTTTCAAACAAAAAGGTGTCTTGACTGAACAGGCACATGCACGGTTTTTTTCTGATCAGGACAAAAGAACAGAGCTGCTAGAGAACGAAACTCCTCCAGTCCTTACTGATAAACAATAAATAGTCGTATAAAAAAAAGCCCACATTGTTGCTTTAGTCAAAATCCAGACTCTCTTGGGTTTGCTGTCCAATTAAGTTGCTAATCACTGAAGTGGCTCCTGTGGAGTCAGAATCAGTCATCTGTTTTCCGTGCCAGTCTACAGAAAGTCCAGTTATGCTCCACTGTGTTTTCATTGGCACGCTCGCTCATGTGATGAACTCTGGTGTTCCTGATCGTGAAGCCTTGCTTTGTGATGTACTCCATCAGATGGACTCGGAGTGACACTTCCTGGTGGTAGTCGCATGGCCCAAAAGTGAAGGAAACCTGGCAGTCCCTGGTGTCCATCATGTGCTTGTTCCACTTTGTGAAGTGGTTTGAAATGCCTTCCAGTAGCGCGTGGACTTTCGTCGTGATCGTGAGCTGTGTGATGATGACGGCCACTGGGTTGGAGTACTTGGAAAGCTTCCGGGTGCTGGACAGCTCCACAACCTCCTCAAAGGTATCCACAGGATAAAGTGGCTTGGGGTCATTAAGACACTGAATGAGCGGCTCAATCTGATAGAAGTCCGCTTCCTTCCGGAGGAGGTCGAACTCCTTGAAGTCCAGTGGCAAAGTGAGCTCTGAGGTCCTTAAAAAGTTAAGAACATAACGGAAAAGTGGTCCATCTCTGTCAATAAAGTAATTGCCCTGAGAGTCCCTGGCAGTGGGGAAGTCTCCCCTGAACATGGCCCCGAGCATTGAGTCAGGATATCTCGTTAGAGTTGTGAGGGAGGTCGTATACATGTGTCCACCCACATTTAGCGTGACTGGATCAGTCATCTAGAAAGAGAGAAATTGCAGAGTTTATGAAGCCACCACACAAGATTCGATCACCTCACTGACACACATAGCAAATACTGTTGGAAAACTGGGAGAGAATCACGCTCCTCCTGTTCAAAGCCTTTAATGGGTGTTTAAACCTGGACAAATCCAAGCCACCTGGCAACAAGGCACAACTGGCAATTAAACAGGATGATACTTAACATGCAGAACGCACATTTCCAGAATGCTTTAGAAATCTGAACAACTGAGCTACTGTCAGAGAAGCGAGTTTTGCATTTGGGTAACAAGTTTTTTCCTATTCTACAGATGGGGAAATGAGAACAGAAAGATTTCCTGACGAACAAGTTAGTCTGAATGAGGCCCAGCAGTGTTCCTTACTTTCACAATCTGTCTCTCATTCTAGAACCAAATCAAAAAAAAAAAAAAGGAAAAAAATCAACCAAACAAGTCTTAAATCTCTTTTTCTCCCTCAAAAGAGGAAGACAGTGCAACTGGACACATAGGACCAAGAGCTCACAATCAAAATAATCCATGCCCTGGTTCAGAGGCATCGTTAAAACAAGCAAAGAAAAAAAAAGAACTTTCAGCTTTTAACTCTAAAAAGAAGTATTTATTAACAAATTAGTATGCTGCATAGAAGAGGGGGACAGAGCACAAACCAGTCTGCATCAGCTTCCAGATAGCTCATGAGGAAGCAAGAGAGAAAGGAACATAAATCCCATCTGGCCACCAACCCTAACAACCAGGACTGTGGCCAGCCAGAGAAGAGAGACATATGCATGGCAGCAGAATGAGAAGGGGAGAAAAATAAGATGTGTTTGTCTAGTTTGTGACAAGGTTTACAAGGAAAAATACTTTTCTTCATAAATAAAATTACAAAGTCCTTAAAATTATATGCAGGAAGCACAAACTATTTTCAGCCTTTGTGTTAGGAAAACAGTAACAGCGAGCCCCAGGCATCAGTTCAGTCCTGGCTGATTGTCACTATGAAACATGAACCTGGGTGCTCCCCACAAGCTGCAGGCGAGGTGCAGCACTCCAGAGAAGGTAAGTAAGCTGTTGTAAAGCTGGTGTAACATGCACAGTTTTCCTCCTCACACGAGTGAAGCTCTGGAGCTACACAAGACAGATCTGGAAGGATTCTTGCTGCAAGACCTCGAAAGCCCAGTTGTACCACACAGCACACACTTGCACAGGCTCACTCACCATATATCCCCAGTCTCCATTATCCATCTGTTCAATTGCTTGAACTGTGGTATTCCAAGTTTAACAGAAGGCTGCTGAAAGGATACGCGATTCACGTCCTCTTATCTCCCTGCAGGAAAAAGCACACACAAACAGAGAACAAAACATGGCAGACCATCAGTACCTACAAGAACACCAAGGGGAATACTTTCCAATCAAAGGCAGGCTCTCTGCCAGGACAGCCACAAAGCCACATTAGCAGGAGAATCTGCAAACCCGCTTCTCCCTCCTTCTCCCTTCATGCTACCCACAGGACTGCCTCTGGAGCACACGGGTAATCACTCCAGTGGCTGCCTGAACATCCCAGTTTTGTTGAATAACAAGCAACGTGCCTCTGAGGATAATACACGTTCACAAACTACCTTTCACCTGGGAAACTCTGAGTACTGTGAAAGACAGATGTCATTTTCCCACTTAGCCACCACTGAGGTCACACATGTGATCCGTTACTATTAGTCAACATTCCCATGCTCCAGTTTCAAACTGCTCAGAAGAATAAATCAAGCATGAAAGTCAATGAACAGTAAGAAGAAAAAAACTCTCGCTGCAGAGTTAATAATTCAGCAGTGGAGAACTGTCACTGATAGGAAGAACATTAATCTACAGACAAAGGGCATGAATGGACTTCCCAGACACCTAGTCTTGAAAGCAACCTCTGTAGAGACAAACCAGAGGACACCAAACATGTTTTCAACACATTCCAACAAAAGCAATTTGAGAAGAGGTTCATGCTGAACTGTTGACTTGCATAACAAGGGGACTGTCCACATGAGCACAAGGCAAATCCACATCGAGGGTTGTGCAACTCGGGGAGGGGGGGAAGTGAATGACCTCAGACCCCAGTGTTGATTTTCCAGTGGTGGCCTGTCAACCATGTCAAGCAATGCAAGGACAGGGAAGCCAGTTGTCAGTGAGCATTTATCTCTACCCAGAGCCTGCCTCTCTGCTACAATTGCTGAAAATTTAGGTCAGCCTGTTTTAAGTAGGGTACAGCTTCTCAGCTTTGTTTATTTTTACATCTTAAAAACCACACAGTTTCCAAGTCTCCTGCTCCCATCCTCTTTACTAACAAACTTCAACAGTCACCCAGCTAAAGGCAGATAAAGATTTAGCCAAGCCAGAGACCTACATACCAAAACAACTGAAGGTTCATAGTTAATTCTCAACCAAAAAGATAACTTGCCCTTCTCTTTCCTAGCAAATAAGGTTGGTCTCATTCAACACAGAACCAGGCAGCATATCCCACCTCTCTGGGCTCTGCTTCCCTGCCCAAACCCACAGACTGGGCACAACAGTGTCCAGCAGGTCTTCCGGTGCCAGCAGCACAAGCACAGCCCCAGCTGCCTCTCAGACGGATTAAAGAGTACAAAAAGCAAAATCAGTGTATGAAAATTGTGAGGCCAGACAACAAAAGACTAAGGAATACTAAGATACAGAACTAGTCATACCAGGATCCTATTTTTACAAATTAGAGACGGAGTATGCTTCAAGAAAGTACATTAAAGCACAGCCCCCGACAGCAGATAAACCTGGAACGCTCGTTTGCCAACCTCTGTAATTATTTTTTTTAAATGTTCACAGATCAAGAAGTGAATTCATTCAGGTTTTCTCTGTTTGGAATTGTCACTCATTAACTTTTATCAATAGCCCAGACCTTTTAAATTCCAGCACTTGAAAGTGTTAATCTGGTCAAGTACAAGGCCAGGAGAACATGCAGATGTGCTAAAATCACATGAGACTGGTACAGGTTTCTGATATTCAAGGAAAACACTCACTTGAAAGTGAAATGATGCAGCCAGACAGAAACCTCACTGGTAATCATGGCAGAACAGATCTGCAGTCTTAACAAAATTAACTGGAATTACGCATTCAGAATATTTCAAAGACAGAGAGATGTCCATCAGTGTTATTTTAACTGGTGGATATGATGTTATTTTGGTCAGCATCTAAGTCCACACTACAGATGAATCAAGACTTTACGAGGGAGAGAGAGATGACACTGCATGCCCGTGCAAAGGCATGAACAAATCTTTGATCACAGCACTGCTGTGTAACACCACAGTGAATAATTCACGAGAGCAATTATCTGAAACAAGCCTAGCCCTCAACACAGGAGTGGAATCGAGAAATCTCACTGACCTTTGTGTAAGGACCCAGAACCACGAGGCACACACAAACCTCCCTGGCAAACCAGTGCTGGAGCAAGATGTGCAACACAAAGGGAAGACACCGGGAGGCCATCCTAAAATGATGCCTGAGTGTGATACCAACTATCCATTGCTTCCCTCATCAGCCTGGGAGCTCTGAATTTCTGGACAACTTCACAGGCTAAAGTAGCTCAGTTTGGGTACAACTTGAGCTAAGGACTAGAAAGGATGAGGATGTACAGCCTTCATGACATATGCCTTTACAACAATGTTTTAAAATCCTCCTGAATGGAATACAGTGATCATCAGTGGGGATGGGCAGACACTCCAACCATACTCCAGGACAGGCAGCCTCAAGCCAGCTCTGGTCCCTCTCACACAACAAGGATCCCACACAGGGCCAGCCTCACCAACACAGCTACACCCATCCAGGCAGCAGACAAGGGATGACATCCTTTGATAACCATCAGCCTGCCTTTGATAATCACAAGAAATACTCATTTAAGATGAAATTCAGACAAAGTGCTGACACTGGTTAAGTCAAACAGGATGTCCCTCTTTGGTGGGAGCAGAAGTGTCAAGCCACAGTGTCAAGCCACAGTCCTGCCCTCGTTTCGCTGTTCTGTGCACAGGGAGGAGACACACAGCAGTGACATGGTCACCGTGGCTCCTGCCACAGCACAGCACAAGCACAGCCAAAACTGGAAAGGCACAATGAGAAGCGAGAAAAGCACTCAGGTCATCATTTTATACTCAACACACCAAACTGGGTACCTGCATTTACAAAATGCTCGCTCTTATTTCATGTATTATGACTCAGAGGATTACGGGGCTGTTTATCAGCAGCACTGCTGCAACAGGTAGTACCACTAACTTCAGCAGGGCTTCTCCCAGAACAGAGCTGCTAACCCACAACCATTCTGCAAGCTGAAATTCAGAGAAAGCAAGTAAGAGTCAGGTGAATGTCTGTATCTGTGAACACACACCCGGGCTCAGGCCAGCCCAGGGATGCCAGCAGCACTGCAGGCATTTGCACTGCTGGGACTACAGGCACTGCATCGAGTTGAGGCCACAGGCTACAAACCACTGCACTGATGTCACACACAGTTACCCAAAGGAGGAGCAGAAATACACCCAGCAGTTTTAAGTCAAGAGGCACAGACCATCTGATTTGTTCTGAATGTTCTTCATCTGTTTTTTCCAACAAAAGAATTAAGGGATTTATTTGTGGCAATAGTGTTTCATGAGCAGTTTGGTATCAATATTACAGCACGAGCTTTTTAACCTCAAGAGTTACCTTTGATTTCTAGGTCAATACAGAGGTGGCAGATATTTTACCAATGGCAGCTTAAAAAAGAGCAAGCTAAGACTCCACTTATACAGACACGTACACTTGGCATTTCATTTACTCACCCCCTCTTGAGCTCCCTGCCTCTCAGACTTGGATCTCCAAAGATGAGAAGAAACTCCAGCCCCAGCACAGTTATGCTGTACATGGACAACCTCTCTGTTCCCAAGCCAGTCAGAACATTTGAAAGGCAAGTTCTTACTGTAAATTATTGGTGACTCACCTGAACTGACAAACACTGAACAGCAGTAGTGCTGACTGTACTCCACCAAACTACAGCAAAACAACAGTCTGCAGAGCAACCCCTGAGCTCCAATTCTGTGCTACCCTGTTAACCAAGAGAACAAGGAGGAGGAGAGCTCTCAAAACAACCAGTTACCCGAATCTTCTGGCAATTCAGCCGATCGGCTTCACTAAAGAAAGCATCTACCACCTTCTACACGTGTCAGGTTTACAATGACTAATGCAGTTTATTAAATGTTAACTTGATTTTCTTGAGTTGTTTTTTACTAATACTCAGTCTGCACCTCAGGCAGGGTGGAAAAACGCTCACGCCAGACACTCAGCATTTTCACTCCTTTATGTTTAATTGCTTCACTATAAATTCCAAGCTCCTGAAGTTTCCTTCCCTCCCCCGAGGAGCTCTGTGACATCCTGTTTCAAGCTCAGATTCCAAACTTTCCTTTTAATTGCTTCTTGTTGGAAGAGCCCACATCCCAGTACGACTTTGGCCCTCCTCTCAGAGAGCCAAAGGAAGACTCATATCCAGCCTGGTCCTGCTGAAGCAACCTAGAGCACCCAGGCTTCCAGGATCTGTGACAATAATTGAGTTTTACCCACGTATTTTCCTTCTGTGACACTAAGCAGTGTTGTTCCCATGCAGAAACACGTCTCCAAACAGTTTTGGAGGAGGACAGGTGTCAGAAACACCGAGCCTCGCTGCACACACCGATGGGGCTCAGCACACACACAGACAGCAAGACGGGGAAGAAAACTCCCTGAGAGCCCAGAGAGGGGGCCAGGGCTGCAGCAGGAGCCGGGAAGTGCCCGTTTCCATCACAGAGGAACCAGGGAGCTCGTGGTAGCAGAACTCTCTCCAGGATCAGAGTGATTCAGCAAAGACGCTGGAAATGAACCCAGACATTTCGTCTCTCCCTCCCACAAGTGACCCAAGAGCCCACGGCCTCATCCCCACCCCAAAACAGAGCCCCAGCCCTGCCTCCTCTCCCCATGGCGCAGGAGGAACCACTGCCCTCCCCGCCCGGAGCAAAGCCCACGGATCCCAGATCATCCTCACCAGAGATCCCCGCTGGGCACCGCGGCTCCCGCCCGGGCATCCCCCCGCTCCGCCCTCAGCCCAACCGGGAACGGGACCTGGGCAGCACCTGCACCATCCCTGCCCGAGCGCCGCGGCCGCGGCTCCCCGTTCCGGCCCCCGAGGAGCCCGGGGACCCGCCCGCACCTGCCCCGCCACCGCGCCGGGACGCGCCGCGTCCCGCCCCACGCTCCCGCCGCGGGCGCGGCCCAGCCCCGCAGGGCCCGCTGCTGCCCTCGAGCCGGGGCACCCCCGGCCCTGCGCCCCCCCCCGGCCCGGCACTCACGGGCGCAGCTCCCGGCGCTGAGGTGAAGCCCGGCGGCAGCAGCAGCGACGGGGACTGGCCCGAGCCCGGAGCGAGCCGCCGGCGCGGCGGGACGGCGGAGCGGGGAGTGTCCTGGCGAGCCCCGCCCCGCCTGTCGGGGTGACGGGGCGGGGCGGGCGGGCACACACGGCGGGACGCGCCGCCCCGCTGCCCCCGCGGCCGCGGGCGGTGTCCGCGCGGGGCGGGCCGGTCCGCCGCGGGGCCTGAGGGCCGCGGTCGGGGCCGCGCGCGGGGGCCCGGGCGCGCGCGCGCATGCGCGACACCGCGGGGTGTCCCCGCCCCTCGCGCGGCCCCCGGGCCGGAAGTGGCGCCAAAACGCCGGCGCCCCGCTCGGCCTTTTCGCGCGCGCCGGGGAAGTTCTTCGGCGAGAGCACGAGCAGGGCGGGGTCTGGTGGCCGCAGGGCGAGAGGACACGGGCAAGATGGCGGGCTGCAGCGCTCTGCGGCACCTGGCCACGGGCGCCCGCCTCGCCCCGCGGGGCCGCGCCGCGGGGACCGCTGGCCTCGCACCTCCAGCAGCTGCAAGCAGCGCAGGGGCTTCCGCGTCTCCGCGCCCGCCGCATACAGGTAGTCTGGGAGGGCTGTCCCCGGAGAGGGCTCGCGCCCCTCAGGGCAAGGGTCCGGCCCCGGGCGGGTGGGCTGAGCGATGACTTCGCCCCCGGGCTGAGGGGACTCCCGGCGTTCGGGGAGCGCGGCCGTGCCCCCGCTCAGCCCGGCTGCCGCTGTCTCGCAGGTGACGGTGCGGGACGCGCTGAACCAGGCGCTGGATGAGGAGCTGGAGCGGGACGAGCGCGTCTTCCTGCTGGGCGAGGAGGTGGCTCAGTACGATGGCGCCTACAAGGTTTGTGGAGGCCGTTGGCGGGCTGGGAAAGGGCCTCAGGCGGGCCGTGACTCCTGTCTCCTGCCCTCCAGATCTCCAGGGGCCTCTGGAAGAAGTACGGGGACAAGAGAGTGATCGATACCCCGATATCCGAGGTGAGGCTGCCCTGTGTCCAACCCCGGTGATCCCTCCATCAGCTGCTCCCTGCTCCTAACCCCTTGGTTTCCTTCTCTTTCAGATGGGCTTCGCAGGAATCGCTGTCGGAGCTGCTATGGTTTGTACATTTGCATTTTTCCTCTTCTGGTTTTAAAAATTAAACTATTTTTAGATAAAAACACGCTAATACATCTTAACGTATTTAACAGGCAGGGTTGAGACCAGTGTGTGAATTCATGACATTCAACTTCTCCATGCAAGCCATTGACCAGGTCATAAACTCTGCTGCCAAGACCTGTTACATGTCTGCAGGATCCATTGCTGTTCCCATCGTGTTCCGGGGCCCCAACGGAGCGTCGGCCGGAGTGGCTGCCCAGCATTCCCAGTGCTTCGCAGCCTGGTACGGGCACTGCCCTGGGCTCAAGGTCGTCAGTCCCTGGAGTTCAGAGGACGCCAAGGGTTTGCTGAAAGCATCGATCCGGGACGACAATCCAGGTGAGCACGGGCAGGTCATGGCAATACGTGGTGCTCAATCCTAGGGAATGGCTGTTTTCCCCTCCTGCCCCATTTAAAAGATACCACAAAAAAATTGTTAAACCGTAAAGCACTCAGGTTTTCTTTACTGCAGTAGGGTACTTACAGAGACAGAAGGGTTTACTCTTTCCCTAACAGTCACCTGCCTTGCTAACAGCAGACTGATTTTGTGCTGTTGCCAGGTACATGGCTTTAGTGTGAGTTTTGTTCCAACCAGGAAACCTGGAAGCATTTAAAAATCTATCATAAAGGGATTAAAAAGGATGAAGTTAGGAGGCCTTCCTGCATATACAGTGCTTCAATATAACTCATCATGAAATTCAAATGATAAATTCAGAATGTCACTAATTGAAAGCAGGGCCACCTTTGTCTTTATTTTTCACAAACGTGAATGAAAAATGGGAGACCTTTCAAAAAGTGGTGATCGTAACATTGTGCACTGAAAGTAAAATACCTGATCTCATTTCAGACTAGTCGTAGACAGCTTTCTAAATGCTTCAGCATTGAAGTAAAGACTCTGATTTACTTCTTTTTTTATTTAATTGCTTCTGCAAACATGCTCCTCACTCCCTTGTTGCTTGGATGGGTTTAGTGTATTGAGCTGCTGCAGGACTGCTAATGGTGAGTGCAGCCCTGTGCCTGCAGACATACACGTTAATCCAAGTATGTTTTCTTCTAGTTGTGATGCTGGAAAATGAATTACTATATGGTGTTCCCTTTGAAATGTCTGAACAGGCACAGTCAAAGGAATTTGTTATTCCAATTGGAAAAGCTAAGGTAGAAAGGCAAGGTAAGCTGAGAATATGTTTGTTTCCTTATTAACTGACCTGGTTGGGGACTTTTTTTAATCTCAGCTGTTCAGGGTACTGCTGTCACAGGGCACAGAAAAGTATTTCAAATGTTAAGTGTTCAAATGTTCTTCTATCCAGTAGTATGATTTCATGTTCTGTTACCCTTTTAGGGAAACATCACCTGATAATCCAGATCTCAACTAAAAAAATACCCTTCTAAAGGATTTGTTCCATAGTGTAGAGATGAAGCAGGTGATGGCTGAAACACTTCTTTCCTCACCTAAGTATATAATTTTTGTCAAAAATGCAAAAAGTGGTCATTGTAGCGTTTAACCCCATTTGTTCATGATTTACCACTAAATTATATGAAAGTTTGAAAAGGATAACTTGGTAATTATATTAAATACCTCTTCAGTTCCCTGAATTCAAGGGTGAAGTTTGTATCTTGGCATAGGTCTTCCTCTTTTCCTGCTATGTCTGGGCTCAGCTTTTCAAACAAACATAAGGAACTGAAATTTACAAGTGAATCTAAATGTTAGCCTGAAAGGAGCCTGAGGTATAGAAAAAAAAGCTTTAAATCTTAAGGAGTTTTTTTCTCTTTTAACACTTGTTTTTCTTCTAGGAACTCATGTTACATTAGTGTCACACTCAAGACCTGTTGGCCATTGTCTGGAAGCAGCTACTGTACTTGCTAAAGAAGGTGTAGAGTGTGAGGTGAGTGGGGTTTCTGTTGCCTTTCTTTTTCCCTGAAAGGGGGAAAAAAGGCAGAGTGTCTTCTCACGCAGGCTCTGCTCACTTCGGTGTATTAACTACAAGCTGCTTATATTTTTAAGTCCCTTTAATAGCATGTGCCTTTCATGTTTCTGAGTTAGAAATTTTGTTAAGACCTGTCTTTAAAGTCCGAACAGATGAAAGTGCTGAGGGGCCCTGTACCCAAACAGGTGGTGACTGACAGGCTCAAGTCACAGCAAAGCTCTCATTATCCCTTTTCCCCCCAGGTTATAAACCTGAGAAGCATTCGACCAATGGATATCGAAACAGTGGAAGCCAGTGTGGTAAAGACAAACCATCTTGTCACTGTAGAAGGAGGTTGGCCCCAGTTTGGAGTAGGAGCGGAAATCTGTGCCAGGATCATGGAAGGTACCAAGTTTTGCAGTGCATGTCTCAATCTTGTTCCCTACTATAAATCCTGAAGGCTTCTTGATAAAGCCTGGCAAAGGCAGAGTTAGGGGTTATAGCTGAGGAGCTGGAGCTTGGCTGTCTTGCTCTAGAGATTTTTACAGGGTGGGTACAAAAACCACAGTGCATGAAGATAAACAAGCGGGAACAGCACTCTCTGGAATATTAGAGCTATAGGAACAAAACTGTTTAAATAGAACAAGATACAGAAATCAAGAGAAAACCACAGTACATGGCAACCTGACACTGTCTTCTGTTTCAGGCCCTGCCTTTAACTACTTGGATGCTCCAGCTGTGCGTGTTACCGGCGCCGATGTCCCTATGCCTTACGCAAAGATCTTAGAGGATAACTGCATACCTCAAGTGAAGGATATAGTATTTGCAGTGAAGAAAGCTTTGAATATATAAGTTGTAAATAAGTCTTTTAAAGTACCTGCTTTACAAAGCATTATTGGTGTTGGGCAAGTTGTATCCATAATTTATGTTCTATAAGCTACGTGAACTTTTGTACAGTGGGGAAAGTATAGTGACCTCCCAGAATATTTATATATGGGGTTATGCTCCCTAAGCCACACTTCATATATGCAACAATGTGGTAATGCTTGTGTTCAGCAGTACAGTTGGGCTAGTGCTACTGTTTGTGGAGAAATCCCGTTCTAAATTCAGAGTGAGGAAAAAAATCCTCCATTTTTGCTTGGCTTTAAGTACCAGAGGAACTGTGTCAAATCTGCTGGTTTAGTGCACAATTGCAGAGAGCAAGAGTAGGCCCCCAGTGCTGTAGAGCTGTAGGAGCCCATGGTCACAAGGCCTATTAGAAGGGAATGACTAGACTGGATGGGTGAAGCCCTGCCTGCCAGTGCAGCTCTGCACAGAGGCTGCAGCAGCCCACAGTGTGGGTTAAGAGGTGGTGACCCTGTTTGGTTTAAAGAGGGCTCCACACATGCAGAAAGACTTCTGCACAAGAGCTTAAATAAAGATCCTGACCCTCTTCAGTAGGTGATGGGAAACACTACCTAACTTTTCTTTACTCCCTGTCACATAGAGTGATTAAAAAAATGCATGTCCAGATGCTTGGCTTTTATGGCTCAGCTCCATGTGGGTGTCTGTAACTCCTTGCCTGGGGCTGACAACAGCACGTTCCCACTGTAGGTCTTGCAGAGCAAAATGAGTTCCTTTATTCAGCTGCACTGAGCCTGAGTCTGAAGCAGCAGTTGTGCAGATTGTGTGTGAAGAGCTGGGGAGCAGTCGAGGCAGACTTTTGGCAGAACACCACATCCCAGGGTTTGGCTGAGGGTTAGTCCTGCCAGGCTTCCCTCAGCAGCTTTTGGTACAGAGGGAAAACTGCCCTGAGGGGCCTGTGCAGCAGGGCCTGCTCTGCACCCCGGGTGCAGTGGCTTCCCAGTGAACAGGTGGAGAGGACATACCTCTGTAAACAGAAGAGCTCAGGTCCTGCTTCAGGGAAGGGCCAGGAATACCTTTCAGGGTATTCCTTTTAGCAGAGGTGCTGTTAAGTTCTTAGGAAGTGTGGCTTGCAGGTGCCAATCCCAGCTGAACATACCCACCACACTGCTGAAGGAATTCCATTAACATTTTAATAAAAATGACTGAATATCACAGGTTACATGAAACTTTGTACAGACATTCTCTGCATAGTAACAAACACTGATGTACTTGAATTTTAAAAAATGGATTATCTATAATCCTTTAAAGTGCAATTTGTTTAAGATTTTAAATCAAAAAGGATCTTTCAATAAAGTTTAAACTGTAGAATTAACTTGAAGTAACTTTGCATTTAACTAAATCAAGAATAACATCCCAGTGCCCTCTTAACTCCCATTTCAACTGTTTCCTCATTTAAAAACACTTTCCCTTGGAGTGGCAGGTAGGATGTCCATTTAAACAAGCTTAATGAGACAGCATTTTAACTCCACCAGCAAATATGGTGGGAATAAGATTTAATTCTCCAGTTCCCTCACCTGTGCAGTATGCTTTAAGGGTTGGATTATCTAAAACAAAACTTGTTGATTCAATGCAGCAAGAATTACAATGAGTTACAAGTGCATGGAAAGAGTTGAAAAACTGAGCAGACTAAAACTACATCCCTGTAATTTGAAAAAAAGGGGTGGAATAGAGCTAGGAAAAAATGCATTAATTCACCGTCATCATGGTCATTCCTATTTTCAGATTTTTATTCAGCTATATAGAAGCTGCTGTACCCCTGCAATTGTAGCCAGAGAACACAATTCTTGAAACCCAGTAAAGAATGGAGTACTTATCACAGCATGGGGAGGCAATTCGGGCAGGGCAGTGCTGCTCGAGGAAAGGTGAAATCAGGCAGAACGGAGCTCCAACGTCATCAGTGCTGGTGGGTCAGTTGCTGGTCAGGAGGGTCAGCACAGGAGGGGGAGAGGGAATTCAATCCTGGAGTGACCAGTGGCCTCAGCTGATCCTGGGAGCACTGTAGTCGCACGTCTGTGTTTTCTTCAGAGTTCCTTTCTGAAAGTTTTGGATGGAGCTGAGCAAGGCTCCCCGGCTCGCACTGACGTCGGGCTGCGGCGTTGGCACCTCTGTACTCAGGGGAGGAGCTGCTGGTGGCAGGGGTGGTGGAGGCGGTGCTGGGGGGATGGACGATGCTCCTGTTGAGCCAGGGAGAGAAGATATAGTTTAATTATGCCAGGGGTGTCCTGCCACAAAGGACTGTGGCTGCTTGGCTGGACATGGTCAGTCCTGCACTACTCACATCATCCCTTGAATGCCAGTGGAATGTGAAGAACAGAACAGATGGGAAATGCCTAAGTGATCAAATCCCTCTATCTGCAGGTGAGTCGTGTCATCTGAGACACCTCTGAAATGAAGCCTGAAGGGCCTCAGTACTCAGGGATGCAAAACATGACTCAAATGTGATCTTCTGAAGGAAATGGAGATCACTTAATGGGATTTCCCAGCTCTTGTTTTTGCCTAGTAAAGCAGTTTGCTTTCTGGGACATGAACAGTAACAAAGACTGGAAGCAAATTTTACTACCTGTTCTACTTACTTAACACACTTTATGTTCTTTGAAGGACCATATCATTGTAATATTTGTGATGACCATTTTGCTTGGTCAGATTATATTCCATTTTTAAAGTACTAACTGCAGATAGAGTTTTCTGGAAGTGTTTTACACTTCCGCAGTCCACTTTCTTCAGACATGTTGTAACGAATGCTTGTTGGACAGACTGAATGAACCACAACACTGTGACACACACCTCTTGCCTGCCTCTCCTGTTCCCACCACCCACCTTTACACTCTGGCCTTGCTCTCTACCCCAGTCAAACATCCATCTCATCATTCCTCAGCATCCACGTCCTGACTCCCTGGGAAGCCAGAGCCCACAGCAGTACATGTGGGGAGCTAGCCCAGCAGTGAGGGCCTGCATGGAGGTGCTTCCTTGGCAGTTCAGATCCAGGCAGGTGGCCTAATTTGCCCCAAGCTGCTCTGCCAAACACCCTGATCTTGTGCAGCTCTGCTGCTGCACATTGCACCATCATTTCTACACAAGTATAGTAATAATAATAGGCCTATCTTGTCTCATATATTCTGGAAGGAGTAGGGGCATAATGATTAGTATCTTAGAACTGTTCAGCAGTGAATTTTAACTGCATCATCTAGATCATAAGTTGTTCCACGTGAAGACTACAGAGACAAATGGCACCTATAGTCTAACACTTGCTCTCAGTAGCTCTAACCTACAAAGAGAAATATGCTGGTAAGTGGCAAGAGTAAGGATACTGGACAAAACAAAACAGCATGAGGGCAACCAAGACATTGTGGTTACTGAAGTAGAACTGCTTGCTATGAAGTGAGAAAATACCAAGCAGTTGAAGGACATTATGCCACACAGACTCGAGGTATTTGATGAAAGATAAAGCTCAACTGCAGAAAAAAAGCAGACGAAAGTTCTCTGTGCTCCATTTTTCTCTCAATTCCTCACACTTGTTTTCAGACTAACAGGTAGCAGTAAAAACATCACTGCTGTTATTAAGCAGTTATTCTACTAGATGAAAGACATAACTCAAAGCTCCCTCATTTTCTATTTGTACTAGTCTTTGAAGAGAGACTTTTCTCATACAGGAGCAAGCTCAAAATGCAGAATATTCACACAAAGCATCCAATTTTGCCAGTGTACATTAATATGTGCTGTGATTGTAGCACTTCCAGCTCTTCAGGAGAAATTCTCATTGGCATGAAAGCCCTCTGTGAAAACAAAACAATGGAAGTACATATTGAGCTCATCTTCACTCTCTTCCCTTTCAGAGGAAATACTCAAATCCTAACAGAAATACCAGAGATCAACTGAAACAATTGAATGTTCCTGGTGCATGTGGATCAACTGTTCTCTGAAGTAATCGAAACATAACACAATGGTTTCTAACTTACCCAAATCTGCTTTTTACACTTGCCAAAGATGTGAGTCAATTTACTATTAGAAATACTGGAAAACCATTCCCTGGGTCAGAGCCCTGTTTCTTACATGGATAGACTGCCAGGAAAGGAAAACTTGGCACTTTGCCAAAGGAAGAACATGACCAAGAACAGTTCAAGTAACCATTTTATGGCTGAAGTGGTCAAGCAGAAGCTGTAGGACTGGCACACCAACCTGTCCCCAAACAGATCAGGGGAGCTGCTGTAAGAGCACCAAGAGCAGCTACTCATATATGAAATGGCTTCAAAGAGATGCAAGAACTGCAGAGAACAAAGCCAAGATTTTTGTCTGGAATTGCAAGGTGAGGCTGAAGAGGCTATGCAAGTAGTTGTACAAGATGCAATAGGGAATTGACCACAAAAACAGAGGCCAGGACTCTGCAGGGAATACAAATACAATGGTAACACGTGCAGTGGAAGAAGGCACGTTTGACAGAGAGGGGGAGCAAAAAAGACACAAAATGCTTGGATGACTAAGTATTATTAGGCCAAGCTTCCATGTCTGTCTTCAAATTTTGGTCTGGTTATTTTACAAAGGGGGTAGAAAAGACAGGGAAGTATAGGGGGAGAGGTCACCTTCCTTTCTCGAAAATTGTTAAATTCCTCAAGACTCATTGTTATTGAAATAGAGCTGCTGACAACATCATGCAATTAAACTCTTGTGAGACTGATAACAGACAATGACACTCTTACACCCGAGCTCTGCCTTAAAACATAAATACAGGGTTCAGAACAGTATCTGACTAGCCATGAGCATTACATATTGAACCTGGTAATTAAGAGCATGATTCCAAAAATCTTCATATCCATTCATTTCAGTTAGTCAGTCCAAACCAAGCTGTCCTTCCCTTCTTGACATGAGTGGTGAAAAGGACATCTGAGTTCACACACAGGTGTAGTTACATCTATAGATTAAACTGTTCTGCCCAACAGTGATATATTTTCCTGTATTTACTAGAAAAAATCACTTAAGACAAGTGCTCAGTTGTCAGTAGGCCTTTCCAATATACATGCTGGAAGACATTGCCTGCACACACACGTTCTACTCATTCATGCAGTTGTAAGAATAAAACACTCAAACAAGAACTTACCAAGGGTTTTTACAGGGACATTTTTGTTAAAAGAGTGTGTTAAAAGGAATAGGAAGTAAATCAGATGCTGTAAACTTGATGCCTGAATTGAAACAAAAACTTAATTATGAATTTAAAGTGACAGTAATAGTGCAAACAGCATTAAAAACTTGGCTGAGAATGGGATGCGAACAAAGAAAATCATTTTAGGTTTTAAAGATGCTGCATTTCATTAAAATAATCTGTAGGAACATTCAGATTTTTTTCTTCTATTCCCTCCCAATACTAAGTTCAAGATTTGCATTCAACTTTCCCATTTAGAAACAGAGCATCTTTAAAGAGATAAATCAGCATTAGCTTACTTTTCCGAAAATTCACGTTCAAAATGATGCATGCTCTATTGAAGACAGCAGAGAAAGAGAGAGGACACAAGTTAATCATCTGGTTCTCGTGTCAAAGTAAGAAAAACAGACACTGTTAGCTGAAAAGTTAGTACAAAAGTCAATATATTCTTATTCACTGACAAATACGAGGACAGTGGATTGACTATTTCAATATACATTTACAATACTTTGTCCAATTCCGAATAACAAACCACTATTTTCCACACTCTAGGCAGTATTGTACTTGATCACCAAATACAAAACAAGTGCTTCCAGCTGCACATGCCATAATTCAACCTTTACAGGATTAAAGTGCATTTAGAGAGATTTAGCAAGAAATCTGCAGGAAGATTAGCCACAGGAGATGAAATCCATTCAGTTCAAGGAACACTTCCTGCTGTATTAACACCTGTATTTACACTCATGAGTCAGAGACACTCAGGAAAAGCGCTTCCTAAAGCATTCAAATTGTCTTACAGAAAGGTGAAGGGCAGGCAAGATGCACCATATGGATGCCAATGAAACCTATATTGTGCTGAAGGATTTAGAATAACTGGCACAGAAAAGATTGTTAAGTACAACTCTCACTTTGTTCCTGCAGAAAAGCCCAGGAAAGCAAAAGTAACATCCCACAAACTTTTCTCTGTTGTAAAACATCATGCTGGCATTTTATGGTATTTCCAGTGGACACCTTTCCCCTCAAAGCAGGCCATGCACTCAATCCTACAGCTGCAACTGTAGGAAAGCCAACAACTATTTTATTTCTTAGTCTGTGTTCCATCAACTATACCAAGCACTCTGGTGCAAGCCAAGTCTCACAAGGCCTTTGTTCAGAGACAAAGCACCTCTCAACGTGTGAGAAACCCCTGAACAGGTTCTTCCCCAGGACATGTCAGCCTGGAGCCCGTTCCCCTTTGGTCAGTGTCTCTGGCTCTGCACATACCCACACACCACACTGATTTACCAAATGATGGCAAGAGCTTCTGCTGGGTGCACTTTTCCTCATCAACCTCAATTTTGCCTTGGCATCACATCACCAGGATGCTTTGAGGTGCCCTGATTCTAACACAACCACACCCAAACCACACAGACAGACTGAAAGCCTCATGCCCTTTTGAGAATCATCTCACCACACTGATACCTACAAGCAATTTTGGTTTAGAGGTAAATACCCTTAGTAAGTACAAGGAAACTGGAAGAGAGAGAGACAAGCTACAAAGGCATCACTTGTCACTAAGTCCCACCATGGGGCCAGTGAGTCTTTCACTGAGCCAGTAATAGCATACCTGCTTAGAGCAGCTAAAACTACAACACTGCTGAGGAAAATTTCAGCACACTAGTTTTCTCTTAGCACTAATATCCAAAATTTCTTCTATTAATTCTACTCACAAAAGCATTCCTGAAAATGTGCCACTTGCCTGTACACTTCATGAACAACATCCAAGCCATCAGCTCACTCAGCCATTTGAGTCACATCAACACATAAACCTGCATCACATGCTTAAAACTTGAAAAAGCTTTCAACCAAGTTCCAACAAGTCCAAGTTAAAACATAACTAAAAGGTAGTTTTATTGAAAAAGAAAAAATTGTTTGCATCTGTCCATTTTGGAGGCACAAGGTTTTCTTTTGCACTTGTAGCTACTTCTTTATTAAAGTTGCAGCAAACCCTCCAGCTAACACTGGGTGCATCCTGAGAGCAGCACTGTTACTGTGCAACACAATAACACTAATTATTTTGTTTAGGCTAAGTGGGAGAAATTAGTTCCTAAAATACACATTTCTCATACCCTCACCTTGAAGGAGAAATTACTAATTTGAATTTCAGCATGACTGATTTGAATTACATCAGACTGCAGTGTCCTTTGAAAGATCATTCACAGCAAACACAAATTTGATTGTATCATGTTAGTTACTGAGTTGTTCTGTGTAGAAAGTTCCTGGAACTAGAAGTCCTATGGCATGAGTCACCATAACAAACAGCGATGCTATGGACTGCTTCCCCTCTAGAAATGTTTGCCAGTGCTCCTCTTCCAGCCTTTCAGCCTGAAGAACATCCACTGTTGCTCAATACTCAGATTTGTAATCAAACTTTCAGAGTATTTCTATTGGTCACTCAAGCAGATCCTTCACCACTTCGCATCACCTGTCCTAAACATTTGCAAAACTGTCTGCACAGCTACCCTGCAAACTGAAAAACAGAACTGGTCAAAAATAATAAAGATATTATTTTTAACCCAAATCAGTCTCTATGAGCTCTACTGGGTTATCAATGGGCTGTAGCACAACTGGGGAGATTTACACAGCCTAAACCACTGAATTTGTCACATCCAAAATTTCTGAAAATACATCACAGCAGTACAGGAGTAAAGAGACAATACACAAGGGATGAACAAGCAGTATTTCAGAGTCAACAGACCATTAACACCAGGACAAATGCATACTGCAACATGAGGCCCAAAAAATGTCTGGAAAGTAGCAATGTCAGTAGGCCTGCAGTAAAAGAGACTTTGAAGCAAGTACTTACACTCTATGGATAAATCATATCATGTATATCTCAGGAAAGGTTATTAAACGAAAAAGAAAACTATTAAAAAGTTTTCTATGGCCCTCAAAGGAGAGCCATAGAGAATGGCTCACATGCCCACACTCAGGCTGACACAAGATAATTGTCATCTCCATATTCCATCCTTGAAAACCACAATCCCTTAGTCATCCTTAGAAATAACACCCACCACTGAGGAGCAGAGGGGAATAAAAAAACCCAAAACCATAAAATAATGACTCTTGAACTTACCTGCTGTAGAGGGCGGAGTGGGGGATGATGGAGATGTTAAAGGGGAACTTGCCCCAGAGCCTGCTAAATAAAACAACAATCTAGTAACTACAGCTGTGACATGGCAGCTCAACAGTCAGACAAGACAGGTTGTTGGAAATAGGCCAACTTTATCGATTGAAGATCCAGTCCTGCTTCCATTGAAATCTTGGGAAAGATTCCCATTCATAGGAACAGTGTCACTTGGACCCAATCTGAACAGAGCAGCTTTATGGTACAGAGCATCAGAAGATCTCCAAACACATAGGAAGTGCATTCAACAGTATTCCTCAATGGGAAACACTTCTTTTCTGCTGCTTAGGCTGTTTGATTTCAGCATCCAAATTTTGTTCCCCTCAAAAGTTGTGCCACTGCATGGATGGCACCCATCTCTCCTAAGAGATGATGTTCAGTCAGTTGCTGTACTCCACAAGTTACTCTGATATCTAACTACTCCACAACAAGCTGCTTTTGGACACATTTTAGCCAAGCAAGTCAGCTCTTTTATCTGTTCCATAGTACCAACCATACCTTCTAACTAAATAAAGACCTGTCAAAGGCTCAGTTGTTTTGGAATTTGGCACTGAAGCAGCAATTAAACAGATAATTCTCTCATTCATCCTAACACCTTACTATGTAATACAGATCACCATAGTCTCCCTGAAGACTCCATTCTTAAATAGCCCATATAATGAATATTGTTATTCAACTCAAATATAAAACAGAATAAAGAGACTGATTGGTTTGGTTTGGGTTCTTTTTTGAAGAATAGAGTACAGACGAGAGGAAACATTAAATTAAGCAGCTAAAAACCTAACTGACAATATTTTTAAGCCCTCAATTTATCTATTGCTAAATACCCAAAGCAGTGGTTATCAGGCTTTGGTAGTCCAATATTAGTATGTAAACTGATGGTAATCCTGGATCTTTTCGGACAGAAAATGACAGTAACAACAAAAGAAATGACACAGATGTGTAGAAGCAAACTTTTCTCTCTGTAGTTACCTGAGTTATTTGAGTTGCTGTATTTTGCTGAGTGCTCTTCCCCACTTTCATAGGCAGAACGCTTTGACTTCTTTGAAAGGAAGCAGAGAAAACAGAAGATGGGAATGAATAATCACTTTCTGTTATAAGGATTGAGCTGACAAACAGATTTCTAACAGCCATCTGCTGTATCACACAAAGTTTATCAGTAGTGCAGACAAACACAGGACAGAACAGAGCCACGTACCTGTGGCTAAACCTATCCATGCTAAACATGCAAAAAATATACACATATTTTTCTGTGTGAGAAACCCATTTAAAGATTTCTTACTTTTCGTGCTAAGATCTTCCTTTTCTTTTTTTCTTCTTCAGAGCCATGATGAGATTGAGCTCTTGTCAGCCTTCTGTGCTGGTGAATCTTCAAAATGAAGGAAAAAATAGAAAAAGAACCATGTTAAGATCTTAAATGTGTTCAAACAACACATTTGGGGTACAAGAAAATATGCTGTAGTCAGTTTGTTTAGATTTATTTTTTCATTTTTTAGCTTTTATCTTTACTGTTGCTGGTAAAGGATAGAGGCTCATACTGCAGTTAAAATTATCCTTTAACTTGGGAGCCACTGCCTGTGAAGCTGCATCACTTAAAACAGTGAAATGCCACACAGTCAACAGCTGTTCTACAAGTCCTCATACTGCATTTTTAGGAAAGCAAATCTGTTGATGAAAGTCTATATTACTCAAAATCAATTTTGAGTAAAAACTCATTTTCTGTACATAAAAATGATAAGAGGAAATGAAATATCTGTAGGAAATAAAGAAATGCAGACATTACCAATTTCTGTTCTTCTGTTAATCGCTTTTCTATGCATTCCTTGGAGATTTTCAACGCCTCTTTTAGCTTGGTAGGAATCTAATACAGAATGGGGAACAAAAACATAGCACAAAATGTGATAAAGGAAAACAAAACTTGACTGCTCACACCTCACCACTCATCTCATCACACTGCTCATCTAAAGCCCCAAGTTCTGGCACCATTCCTTTAGTGAATAGAAAATAAGACTCTAGATGCATGTTTTTCCACTCAGAAATAACAGCAGGGACAAAGAAACTCTAAAGGCTGGGACAGGTGACTATTTTGATACTCCAGTCACATCCCCAAACTGCCATGAGGCTGACAAGACACATGGCACGTGTTCCAGGAGAAGTGCCCTGGGGCAGCTCCCCAGTGGGACCAGATGTGGCTCCCAAAATGCCCCAGCACTGGGGTGGGCAGCAATGTGCTGATGGTCTCACGTAGCAAAATCAGCTCCACAAGGTGCTTCCTCTCACTGCAAGGGACCCACATTACTTGGCAGCTTCTGCTCAGATAGAGCATCATCATTAGCTACACAAATGGGCTCCAGGACAGCAACTGCACTTGAACACTCATGGGTCACATCATGGTCCCTTTCTAAGGATACAATTCAGCACAGGAATCCAAATGCTGCTGGAAAGAACAATAAAGGCAAATAAAGCCAGTTCTCCTCTACCTTCTCTGTCAATTAATGTGTAGATACTCACAGCCTGGCACTTCCATAAACATCAGCAAATCAATGTTCAACTCTACCTTAAACTGTGGTTTCTCAGAGTTTGTTAGCAGGACGTCACTGAATAATCTGTGAGTGGATAAAAACAGAGGAATATTATTTCCAAGAGATAGGGAAAACCACAGCAAAAATACTACTGGTACTGTTCATTTAAACCCCTCTTTCTTCCTTTCCTTTTCTGTCCTTATCCCTAGGCCACGGTTTAGTTTTTTCCACACGTTTTTATGTACTGCTTTTTATTTTCCAAGCACCGCTGTAATATTAGCAGCATCCAACACTCAGAATGTAGTCAATACTGATGGCAGAGAAAGCAAGTTTATCTGAGATATTTTGAAGGTTGCTACAACAGGTACAATTATCTAAGGCAGAGAAGAACAGCTTTTCCTTAAAAGCATATGGATTCTTTAATTATAAAAGATCTCCAGGGGTTTTATTTTAAATTTCACCTAAGCAAAATCATTGTTCTTGTTAGGAAAATTCTCTTAGCACTATTGTTTTAGTATTAACAAGAAACATGTGAAAGGTCAATGAGTGAACTTAACATTTGACAATATCTGCATTCTTGCCTGCATTCCGCAAAAAGGCAACTAAAGCAAATAATCTAATATTTCTGTTCTCCCCTCTATGGTGCCAGGAGCAATGCTTAATCCTTTTCCATCCAAAACAAAGACACTAGAGGGCAATGGTAGTCTGAAAATAAACTGGTTAGTCTATTTCAAAATACTTTGTCCTGGAGAACATACTAGAAAACTGTCCCAGAGAGATCTCAAACCCTGCTCCAAGATAAATATTTCTGAGATCTTTTGTTGCTGTTCACTATGGAAAATTATCATAGACTTACACTAGGAAAAACAAATTCAACTCTAGAATCAAGTTAATTAAGGAGAGTATTCCATGAAAAATTCAGAAATAAAGCAGACTTGAAAATACTTTCAAAAAGCCATGACAATTCATCCTTGTTTACAGGGCTTTCTGATCCTTTGATTACATGTTCTTATGAAAATAAGAGAAGTCATAATTTGTATGGCTATAATAAATAGATATTTAAATTACATTAATTACTTTAAATTACATTCATGCCATTGCACATCTAAATAGAACACTTTTGTGAGGAGTATTGGTATGAAGGAGATGTATAATATCTTAAATATCAGATGCAGCTGGGCAGCTGGGATTGTTTGTTCAATTTCTTTTAAGACTTGTATATTCCTGTATTCACAGAGTTTTCTTACAGTATTTTTCCCCTGTTTACAGTCTCCTCTCCACCTTCCACCTCCTTCAAAAGCAGAGGAAGGGAGGAGGAGAAGGAATTGAAGGATGCAGTGACTCCCAACCAGGAAATTTGAACCTGAGAGCATATTCTAAATGCACTGCAATCTGTGTGTTGTGAGATCAGACCCAGATTTAGGTATGGAAAATCTGTCATTTATTAGGTCCTGACTCTGGCACCTCACATAAGGAAAAATAAAAGAACTTCCCACCAGAACTGTGGTTCTGTGGCTCAGCACACTGGTGACATATCACAGCACAGGGACAGCAATTTCCCTGGAAATGCTGTGTCTCAACTACAGGCAGTTGTGATCTCCACTCACTCACATGCTGACAGTGCTCCCTTCCTGCATCCTGGCCTTTCCCCCCCGCCCCTCCCTGCCCTCACCCCTTCACTGCATCCTGGGAGGACAGCCTGTTAAGGAAATTTAGTCTGTCTATGCTTCAGAGAATCCCAAAGCCAACCCTGCAAGAAACCAAACAGAACTTCCACGTAGCATTTCATACTCAGAGCAAGTCTAAATGTCACTGCTGAGCAAAGCAAGAGATCTATTTCACCAGTCATAAGTAAACTGATAGCAAAATCTACCGAAGTAGATTTGAAGGAGACATGCAAAAAGACTTATTCTAAATCTTTTAAATCAATCTGTACATGATCTTAGGCATACTTGCATTACTTTAATAGCTGGATTAATTTAAATCATGCTAACTAAAGTGCATTCATAACAGCTCCAACACACCAAGAGACAAAAAATGTTAAAAGTACATTCATCATGTTCACAAGGGATGGGTTCTACAAAGCCTATCAATTTTAAAGCTTCATTTGGGACACTTCCCTCGGAACAAGAAGCAAACCTTTCTAAAAAGAAACGAGCAAAAAGGCTCTTCCTCCTGAAATAATTAAAAACCTTGCTATGAGTATAAAACAAGTAGAACAGGACTTACGGCATCTGTAAGAGCCGTGAGACAGTTGGCATGCCATTCTTCATAGCTTCACAGGTCAGAATGGATTCCAACACTGACACTACCAAAGAAAGAATAAGAATGAACACATTTTTGCACGGCAGGACAGCAAATGATTTAGAATGAACGTCTGTGTGATGTTACCCTAAGTATTGCATCAACCAAGCAGTGATGAAGCTCTGTGGCATGTGTTTTTTATTATAGCGTTACTATTACACACACAAACTTTTCAAGAATGTTAGACATAAGGCAAGGAATCCAGGCATCTCATTACTTACTAAACACTGCTTTATCACTCAGCTAAAAAAAAAAAAAAGGTTTTACTTATACACTACATACATTTCATGAAGAACACATTTTCACTTTGACCGAATTATTCATTCTTTCTGGTCATAAGCTGCAAAGATCTCAGGCTGGTATTTCACAGCACTTCAGCTTGGGTAAAAGTTAAGAGTGCACCTAGGAAGCTGTGACTGAGATATTCTCCATTGCATACTAACCAACAAACACTGAGGGTGCAGGGGGGAAGCTCTCTACTGGAATCGTGTCTGGGGGTCTTCCATATGTCATTTCATACAGTAAGTGTCCAAAGCAATGTACATCAACACCTTCTAAAGTCTGTGGAGGAACAAAAAAAATACAGCCACAACTCATTAGTTTTCTACAACTGGTTAACCCATTGCAGAAAAACAGTGATTTTGCACATGAAGATAGAAAAGAGGAACCACTAAGACAGTTCTTAACCACAACCACTTCCCTGCATAACTCTTGCTCAAATGAAATCTTCATGCCTCAAGCTAAAGCAGACACCACTGTCTTCCTGTATGTGATGACAAAAATGTGATAGCAGCATAGTCAAGTTCTGTAAAAATGTGTGAAGTTGTAAGGTCTTTTCCTACAGCAGTTTAGAAAGCCACACGTTGACAGAAATCCCAACCAAGCCCATTTTCTGAGCTAAGTCAAACAGCAAAGAATGAGGTTCATAATAGGACCTGCTGCCACTTTACAGGGAGGCAGATAAAAAGACAGAAAAAATGCATATCAAACAAACCTTGGAGAGCCTCCCTTGCTCCTCCTTAGGTTTGTGCAAGCTGTACATACATTCTAAGCTCCCACACAGCATATTTCCAAGATTTCTGAATTGCATTTAAACAGAAAGGGCTCCTCTGACTGGAAGATGCTCAGAGCTTTGATGGCACTAACAGATTTGGGCTAACCATGAACTTTTGATCGTTTCTTTGACAACACAGCAGAACTTGTTTAGCAAGGTCAGCAAGCAGCTATCTCGTGATGCTGTATGGAATTTATTACAATGAGAGCCTAAAGGCAGGGCAAGATGCTGCTGGATTGCTGCAACAGGGCAAATTTGTTTTCATACTTTTGCAGGAAGATAATATTTTGCTTTGCAAGCCTGCAGTTAACAGACACTCTTCAAACAAATAAAAACCAGCTTTGAATAGCTAGACATCTGCAAGCATCTCATCAATTTTCACAGTATTCACCAAAGACAAGGCTGATTAATATTCCCACCTAAGCACAAGTAATAAGCTGTGATCACTGGACAGACATACAAGTGAAAAAGTGTGGTAGAGAATAAGCACATTCCTACGAAATATAAGACCAGGGTGGAAAGAGATCTTAAAACAACTGTACTTTACCTCTATTTGTGCCAGCATTGTTATCACAAAAATACTCACCTACATTCCCCTTTTACCTGCTTACCTTTGGCCTCAGCCTCACTCCAGTGTGCTGCAACAAAACTGCTGTGCAGCCAAACAGTGATTTGGAGGAAGCAGAAAAGGAATTTGATGGAGAAAAGATCAAATTAAAAACAGGGGCTTGAGAGAGGTTTTTTTCATTCTAGTCAGTTCTCCACAGAGGTTCAGGATAAAGAGATGCATAAGACTCAGTTGAAGTAATTGTCTGAATCTTACATTAATTTTCCGAAACTGTGAAAAGTACGATCGATAAAATGATGGAAGTCCCAACAAGGAATTTTCTAGATCCAGTAACTTGCAGGTATCCCCATCCAACATCACATTGGCAGAGTGAAGATGGCCGTAAGGAAATCCCTTCTCATGCAAGAATTTTAATACCTGAAAAAAATCCAATGCAGAAGCACTGTCACAAGATGCTCTGATGATCTCAAGATCATAAGATCATCAGTTTAAATGCTCCAATACTGCAGCAGATACATAATAAATGAGGCCCCCATTTGGAATGCTTGCTCAACTTGATCTTCTACATCATCTTTGCCTGACTATTTGTTCCCATTTCACTGGTAACACTTTTCACAAAACAAACATTTGATGCTGATCCTCAAAGCAGCAACCTCCCAAAAGAGATCTGGAAACCAAAATTCACAATACTACTGAATATAATAGTTTGAATTAAAAAAATTTTAAAAACACATGAATGACCATGTATTTATGGCACATGTTCTGTTGTCTATTAATTACTTCTTTTCCTTTTTACACAAGGAAAAAACTACAATATCACCTCTCTCCCACTTAAACTCCACATGCACCAATTGCTTTTTTTTTTTTGGTCATAAATGGTCTCACACACACATATCTAAATTCAACTCTCAGCAGCTAATCTCAATTCACATTTACCTTTGAAGTCTGCTGCTGAAATAAAGCTTCTGTGCTCAAAAGTTTGTCTACTTTTCTAGCTAAACCAGTTGGCCTCAAAAAAAAAATCATAAAGGCAGGTAAATAAAGGAAAGAGAAAAGTACCTCTAATATTTGCCTTCCATATGTTTTTATTTGCTGAAGCTCAAGACCTTGAATTTTTTTAGGATTGCAATACTTCTTCAGGAATGGGTCTTTTGGCTTTGCCTTTTAAAAAAATACACATATAAAATATCATGCTGAGAAAAGTCAGTATTTGTCTTAGTTTGCTCAGCAATAGATGGCAAACACTTTTATAAAAGACATATTATGGTCATTCCATATCCATGTGGGCGGTAGACATTACCTTATAAATAAGGTCCTTTAGTGTCCCTTTTTCACTGAATGGTCTAATAACCAGTGCTGAAGATTCATTGGCAGTGGCAAAAGTGATTTTGTAAATATAGGGATGCTATCAAAAGAAGAAAAACCGTAGGCAAATTTTAGATGACTGGTTCTGTAATTCATTTGTGTTCAATTCACAAGTCAGAAAGGATCTGCCTGAATTGTATATTTAAAGCAATAAATTGGATTCTGCCAATGACATTGAATAACCCATGCAAATAAAACTTCACTAAGACATTATTCAATTTGCACATAAATTAAAAAAAGAAAATCCACTATCTTTTTTTTTAACAAAACAGACTGGCAGTTTAGACAAATGAAAAATACTGCACTTATTCATGAGCAGCTTTACTGCATGTTTAAGTCATGATAAGCTAGTAAATTCATTCCCAGTTTTATACAACTATGGCACATAAAGAAATTCAGCATTAATAGCTGTCATAACAGTTTTATGTCTTCAGAAATTATTATAACAACTTTGCAAAACCAAATGAGAGAGCAGAGTTGTAAATAAATTACAGACACAACACAAACACCAATTGAAATTGCTAGTCAGGAGAAGACCCCTTGTTCATGTCTTATTTTAATACAAGTTTCAGTCTGGCTGGAGTGTTGAACAGCCTGGTTTTCAGCCTCTCCTGTTATGGGCAACTGCTGAGCTCCAGGACTGCACAGAGATTTACCAGTTTAAATACTATCCTTTTCAGCCAGTCTCTCACACACTTAACATCCTCAACTCCTTTTGGAGTCAAATGCCAGTTTTTCAGGCAGAGATGCCTACTGGATTTATAGCATGGCATTGCACAGGAGCTTAAATTGTACAGCTTCCATTGTACCTCTACTTAGATACTCTTTTTAAGTTCAAAGAACTGAAAAAACATAACAGTCTTTCCACTGCCTCATCCACTGCTGCCTGAGAATATCCCCAGCTCATGGGCTAGCAATTACACCTAGGTAGCACTATCCTAACAGCCTGAAAGTGTTGAGGAGCTGAAATAAAAGCTCATGACCTCACAGTACCGCACAAGAAGAAAAAAAATTAAATTAACCACAACACTGAATCTCCTGTAGTAATCCTGCAGGATTGTTATTTGTGCTGAGAACATGTTGCTTCACATTATATGGGAAATGTAATTAAAAGGTTTGCAAACCTTTAAATGAAAGCAACTCTAAAATTACAAACTGTCTACTAGGCTACATGTGGTTTTGCAAGATGAATCCTTGACATGCACTTCTCTGCACAATTTAAAAGTCTTCAAGTATTACTCACAGAACAGGAAGAAAGAAGTTTCACAGCATACTGTAAGTCTTTGTCAGACAAGTACTTATCAGGGCCAAGATCAGCCTGGAAATAAATAGGAAAAGAATGGCATCATAAAAGATTTTGTATTCTATAAAGAAAATGTGATCTATATTCTACTCTGGCAAATGAAGACAGATGTTTGAAGGTATATTTTGAAGAGCAAGCAAGGAAATTATACATACAGAATGAAACCTGAAGAGGCTGAACAAGGCCGTGGTTTCACAAACAAAATGTGTGACCATAAACATTACTGCCTGTTTCCTCCCCCAGATCTGACATTCATTACTACCACTGAATGAACTCTGCCAACTCCAAACTGAGGGACTGTGTGCATTGTGAACTGATAAGGCACCTTCTTCCTCTGCACCAAGAAAAACTTCCCTCCTATTGCAGGCTTTAGTGATCTCTGCTCTCCAGTGAAGTCTCACAAACAGCACTGCTCATACAATTAAGGCAGCAGCACATTTTAGCACAGGAGCAAAAGCAAGTGTTGTCAAAGGACCAGTTCATTTCTCTCTTGCCTAATAGTTTGTCAGTACAACTAAAGATCTGAATAAGAAATCTCACCACTTTAGAAAGGATCATCTTATTATTTTCAGTGAGCAGATTTATATATGGTCAACAGCCACATCATTACAACTAAAGAATCCTGAGGTGCAGGATTGGGAACAAATGGCCATGCACAGAAACTTGCAAACTGGATTTGCCACCAGAGGAAGGAAACACAAGAAGTTCCCACACCACACATCCACCTAAGGGCTTTCAAGGCTCTCCCAAAGCCTGAGCTCTTCAGCCAGCTCTCTGACACTCTCACATGGTAGTCAAAATAAAATCTTGAGTGAAATTGAGAAAGACTTGAGTATGAGATGAAGGCATATATACCCAGCTTAACACTAGCCGTTCCTTTGGTTGATTCTTTATCTTCATTAAGAAATATTTCTTACGTATTCGCCAACCTATAAAAAAAAAAGTCATCAGCAGCTTTAATTAAACACAACAGGACAAGGTCTGTAAGTAAAGACTTAAGATTGTAATCTTAGGACAACTCATACACTTGGAAAAAAATCAGACAAGCTTTCATGCACACATGCTCTTCTTACCTATATCTTTTAATGGTTCTACCACTTCCCACTTTGGCTCTGATCGGAAGAACATTGAAACGTGCTGTAAGGCAATTTCTGGAAAGAAAAATGAGAAGAAGGGAGAAAGAAAGTAGAAAAGAAATTAAAATGTTTTAAAGAGACTATATCATGTAATTATCCACATATTAGGTAAGGTTCAATGCCAGAAGGAAGCCTGCAGGAATTCAGACTAAAAGTCAGCAAAATCACTTCAAAAGGAAATCAGATAAAAACACAGTTAGAGGGCATTTGCATTTTTAACTTGATAACTCAAATCCAGAGAGAAAACAGAGAAAAGCATTGCTTGGAAAACTTAGCTTAACAGTCTGCTTTCTATCTCTACTAGATCTACATTTCCGAGTCTAAATCCAATGCTCACAGCTCAGATTTCCCACAATAGGAGTACACAACACTAGATCATGAAATGTTTCTGCTATACCTGTAAAAGTACTCACTTTTATCTCTTTAATGTGCATCTATATTGCCATTACTACACGTAAATTATGGAAACTAAACAGTTCTGTTTCACCATGTGTTATTCTGCCCTTTTCTGTGCAGACGAAGGTATTTGGCCAGCTATCATGAACCTACATACATTTGGGGGGCTGGAGGGAGGACACCTGTCTTGTTAGTGAATTCTCCCACAGCTGGGAACACAACTGGTTTATTCATGAAGTGACCCAAGGGGAAATCTCAACAAGAAGTGGTGACAGCAGGGGGAGAAAGGGAATCATGCTAACAAGGAATTTTCTCTAACATGGCTAATCTTGGCATAGAAAAACAGCAAGAAGGTAAGGATGTGTTGATCTCTCCCTCTATACTGTATATACACTGTATCTTCTCTCTATATAAATATGCTAGAAAAAAAAGTGCAATAAATATCATCTCACTGCTCCAGTGTTTAAAAAACACAAACCGATGGTCTCTAAAGACCACAGGCAATGATGTCTGTGCTACCAACTTCCCAGCAACTGGCAGGAAACACAATCTTGATGAAAGTTCTCAGAACTAACACAGAAGTCACAGTGTCTCCAAGAGGATTTAAATTGCTTGCTCAGCATTAGCCAGACAAACTGCATCCATAAAGAGTTACTAAGAATTTACAACTCCTGCACAGCTTATCATAAACATCCGGTAAATGTTCTTTGCACTTTGAAGCTGAAGACACCAGAATGTTACATAAAGGGAGAGAAAAAAGACAAGTTAAAAGGAAGTAGTGAGTTCCTGCTTCAGGAGACTCTGCTTTTATGAAAACAAGCTTTGCATTTTGCAAAGAGTTGGTTTGCCCGTGAACTAAATCTGTGGAGTGGGTTTGATCACTAAGAGGAAGTTTTTTCAGTCTGTAAGACAAATATTTAATGGTTTCCAATAGCTGAAGTAATACAAATTCAAAGAAGAAACATTTAGTAGAGAAGAAACTGATCACTGGGCTACCATTGTAAAGGGATACAGTGACTGTCCAGTATTTGTGGGAAGAAGGTGTCTAACTTATTCAAGCCTTGTAAAAGTACTAAACCTAGCTCAAACAATTATTTCTGGAAGTCTCACATCCCAAAGCAACAGTAGGAGCTGGACAAGATGACCACAACTGTTCCTGTTGAAAGATTCAGTGTTGAGAAGACTGGCTGTTTTAGCAGAACATGGAGTGGACAAACTTAACTCCACCTTACACTCTGACAGACAAATGACTTCCCAACAGCAACCCTCTCCATTTATCACCAACTCTCCCTCCCCCAAGTTCTGCTTATCTTGACCCTCTGTGAAATAATTCAAATATTTAGATTTGACAATCTCAGCCTGATCCACGTACAGAGCTGGAGAAGCCTTATCATAAATAATCACATGCACAATATCACAATTTTGAAGGTTGTTCCCCACATGTTTTAGTGCAGATCCTTGCCAGCATTCATGGAAGATACACACACATCCTAAAGTCAAACTGTAATGCAGTTTTGTACTTCCTACTTACCAGTGTAGTTTACAGAATAGCTGTTTGGGTCCAAGAATTTCTTTACCAGTTCACAGTTAGACAGTATGTGATGGGTGGTAATTACATCGAGATAGGCCTGAAGTCCCTTCTGTCTTTCAGCGATGAATTCACGCTCCATATTTCCAATCAATTTTTTTGGAGGAAGAGGTAGACTTAGAGTTGAGATCTTAAAAAGAGAGGAAAAATTACTAGCCTTGCTCTCAAAATGCCTCAGGGATATAAACTGGCAACTCAGAAAGTAAAAGACTCACAGCAGCAAGCTAACTACTCGATAACTTGTGTATATACAAGCTTTTATATTTTTCCTAAGTACTGTTATCAGAGTCAGATGATAGCTCACATCCCACTGTGAAGAGATTAGTAAACGGAACAACACTGAAAATACAAGGAGACAAATTTTTGCTAGTGACTCATACATTTAAGATTACTACACAAAATTTTCAGATACTAAATGGCTACAATTTTCAGCCAGACCCTTCCCATGACATACCTCTGCCACAGTACAAAAACTATTCACACCTTACCATTTTCTCTGGATGAGATTTATGCTTTCTCATTTCATGAAGTGCAGATTAATAACTTTTCTTTGCCTCTATGACTTTGTAGGTAATTTAAAGCCCTTTCTGTCAGTACTTTAAATCTGTAATTTCAAATGTGGTGCATATTTTCCATTTTCTCTTCAGAATTTGCTACTGTACATTTTTTTTAAATTCTATACATTTTTCGACCCAGAAATAGCTGCAATCTACCAGTGGACATAGAGTAGTTGTTTTATGCTGACACTAGTGATCCAAAACTTCAGAAAAAAAATCAGAGAAATCCTTCAAAATAGGATGATGAAAAAACGTACAGAAATTCAAAGCCTTATGTAAGTCAGATCAAAGAGATCATCCTCTGTGTTTATATTCAATTACATCATGTGAATTGCCAGAATACATTTTTCATGTTGTTAACACATTGTTGTCTTTGCAGATCAAAGCACCTGCCTTGGGTAAGTTGAATCTCCACAGGAGTTATCTTTAAGAACTGTGTGTTGCAGGAATCAATTACACCAGATGCAATAACCTCATTTCTAAAGCAAATAGTTCACCAGGGAGAAGACAGGGACTTTTGGTGTTTGAACAACTTTCATTTTAACTAGTGGAAAGGGTAAAGGATTAGTTTGACAAACTGGAACAGAAGAAGCATTCCCTTTCCTTTTTACCTCATACATTTGAACACAGGAGTTGTTCCCTACTAAGTTTAGCACTTCTACTTCACCGTTTTCTGACTGCAGATTATGGACTGAAAAAGAACTACAACTATGTCTGGATTACAGAAGATGTTTATAAAACTCATCCTATTCACTGAGAATTTTTAATGCTCTTTTACACACAAGTGAAAAAAACATCCAGGAATAAACCCAAAAGCAACCATATACCACTCACAGTCAGTAATTCACCAAATTAGTTTTAACACCATAGGCAAATCGAATTCTCCTTTGTCAGACCACTCCAATTCAAAACCAAGTTTCTAAACAAAAACTAAATCCTTTTCTGGTACTACTCACTTAAAAAGCATGTCAAATGATAATCACCTTTACCTTCTTGACCTGACAGCTAGCTACCATCAGAGCGACACTGACTCTAGTTCAGATATTTTCAAACCACTATTATTTGTTTTAAAACTTAGACATCTGCTGTTTTTCAGCAGAAAGTAACATTCAGGCCCAGGTTTTTGTAGCAATCTGACAAAACACACAGCACAGCGAGATCGCTGTCTGTCCTAGAGGGACACCTCACTGAGGTCCTGACCTTGCCAAGACCTCACATGCTTTCAAACACCAGTAATATTTCTCTGTGGCCCCAGCTCACCACTGGAGCCAGGATGGGCTTCATCACGGAAGAACCTGGGAATTAACATTCTTATCTTCAAACCACAGCCTGCTCAGGAATGTCTGTTCAAAAGCTGCAATAAAATGCTTCACAAAAGCCAGATATCTTGCTGTGAATTCCAGTGCTTCCAGTACTTCACTTAACAAAACAGAATAGCAGTCAATGATCTCCACACATCTCTGTCAAATAGGGAAAAAGGAAGAAATGCAGGACAGACTGGAAGGAGCTTTTCAATCCAGTACAGCTGAGAGTTCAGGGAATCTGGCTTGAAACTTTCTGATACAAATCAGGGTCACAGGTATGCATTCCCAAGCCTAGACAGTTTGGAAATTCTTGATCCTTAGTATTATTATATAGGTAGCACCAGATTAACAGCAGAAAATTTGCATTCCAACTCAACTGCAGCTGTGTTCAAACACAAACACCAAAATCTACAAAGAGGTCAAGTATGCCATGAGAACTTGAAGAACTTGGGGCTTTACATCCAAAAGAAGCTCCAGCAGTTTTTCCAGCTGCATTTTAGTTTTGAAGGAAGAAGATTGGAGTTTGGTATCTTCCTATTGGTCCTTGTTTTATACTGTTTTTTGAAGGGTTGCTTTGTGTGGAGTTTGTTTGTTTACTTCTATTTCAATATACACAAGATGAGAGTTTAAAGAGTTTAAAAACAAGTCATGGGACCTGAATACTGTGACAGAATATTGTTGCTTAGAGTTCTGGATGGAAAGAACTGAGGAGCACTGCACTGTCTTAATGACTGTGAAAACTTCAGCTCCAGTATCACAAAGAGCAATTTATAAAAAATCCAAAACAGTGGGAGAAAAAAGCAATTTTACCATGATTTTCACCAGTTACTGTCTGCCCTGGCATTTGGAACCAGGCTGGAGAAGCAGTAGTGTTTGTCAAAAGCAGAGTTGTGCATCTCTCATAAACGCTTAAAACTCTATTCCTGCCCTTCTGCTGGGCACATAATGAAGAATAACACCTTTTAGGGTGGTTCTCTGCTTGAGTCAGAAAAAACTTCTCCAACTGAGACACAACTTTGCCTTTCCAGACTGTGGGAAGCAGACTCAGGAGTTTGAAAATCAAGGTGTGAGCAGTAGTTTTCATTGAAGGAGTCAAGTGCTAAAGATCACGGCCTGCTAATTTAGCCACGCTCTCATATCCTCCCATCCAAGTTAGACGTATGTTCTGATCATTGTTTGATGTTTTCCAGTCATCCAAGAAGCTGATGTTTTTGTCCTAGATCTTGGTCTCCCTCTTGTTTCAAATTCCCCCTTATCCCACTCTGCAAGTTGCAGTCAGATAATTTCCTGAACCCTCCCCTTTTATCATTCTCCTCTGTCTCAGATAAAAAGGCTTTTTCTTTATCATACATAACCTATTTACCTTCACTTTCTAGACCTTCCAACTAGGCCTAACCTTGCAGTACCTGTCATTTCTGAATTTTAAGATTTAAAGGCCCATTGCTTTCTCTACTAAAGGTGCCCCATTTGAAATGTAAATGAGAAGGCATAAAGCTTTTTCATGCCTTAATACATCCTATTCCCCAGGGTTAAGAGGAGCTTGTTATAGGTGGCTGCAAAAAGTGAACTCTTTCTTCTTTTTAAAACTTTCTCAAAATTCTTTCTCTGTGATCTTTATCAAAACTTGACTACGGTTAAGACCACAATGACCCCTAGGTACTCTGATGACTAGTACCATCTCATCTCCGTGTTCCCCTGGGTGTTTATCTAATTTTAAATCTTGGATGTCTCTGGAGCAGGAGACAACTCGGTATTGCATTTATTCAGCACATCACAGACAAGGTTTCTAGGTCATGATAAAAGTTCCTACATGCTACTGCACATTCAACAGAATAATTCAACAAGGCAACCAAGTTGCATCTGTTGAATTATGACTAATTTGTCCTCCCATCCACCTTCAGCAAAGGAACTGGTTACAGCTCACAATTCAATACTCTTACAGGGCTTTGCTCACCAAGGATCATCAAGTAGACAGTTGATTAAACTGGGGAGGTAAAGAGGAATTGGAAACAGCATTAAACTCTTGAATTCATGCAACATTTAACCGGGGAAAACATTTCAACCTCACAAAAATCTACCCTCAAACTGCATCATTCATTTTTTATCTTGTTTGCCTAGTACCATGGAAGTACCAAGTAACGAGTTTCAACCCTGTAGATGCTCATCAGTCCTGCTTTCCCCATTTTCCAAACACACTCACATACACCCTGCTTTTTCCCACACAAACTAAAAAGAAATAATTGTCCTAAAAAGCAGAAGAAAACACACAGTGAGTCCAGTGTTTGACCAAGGAACACTCCTCAGTGACACAGAAAACCATCACATGAGAAGCAGCATCTGGTAGTGCTTTTAGACGAATATAAATAATGGGACACATAGCACTTCAATGCTGAATTTATAAGGTTGGTATGTGCCTTGGCTTTCTCCAAATCAAAGAAGGAACAAATAAAAACACATAAAACCGGAACAAGTCACAGTACTGAAGGGAAAGATTCAGTATCTGCCAATTTCCTCCATTTCTATATAAATTGATCCTGTTGATGCTAAAATTCAATTTTGTAAGGGAAAATGTAGGAATGAAAAAGTACACATTCAAGTTATATTTGAAGTCACAGTTTCTCTTTACAGCTATGTGAATTTTTATTTTTTTCTTCACTGCAATATATAAAAATATCACAAGCCATTTTAAATATACCCTTCTAATGACACTTTATATTTATATATAAAGGGTGAAAGTTACCTGCAAGCTGTTATTAAGTAAGTCAAAGTCACTGTATCGCCTCACAATCTGCAAAAAAAAAGACAAAGTTCAGGAAACAAATTACTTTTTCCATTAGCATTTTACTCCTCAAAATCACATCAGAGAAAAGTAATTCCCATTTATAATCATCTTCTTCTTTTAACAATTCTTGTACAAAGGCATAACTGCTGGATTCATGTCACATTGCCAGAGAGCAAAGCAGTTTTTAATCACATCTCAATCAGACAGAAAATGCATTTCTAAACATTATCTTAAAACAGTTTTAAAAATATTTGTGAGCAAAGTTGTCTGCAAACAAGACATTTTTGCCATATTAGATGCGACAACTTTTCATAGTCATCTTCATTACTACTTCTTGGTTTTCTTGCTCATCAAGGCTGTATTTTTAGCCCTAAGGAAGGCAAAATAGCATTTGAGGTTTTAAAGTGATGGTTGTACCAACACATAGTACTAACACATGAGAGGCATTTTTCCTGGAATATTCAGAATAGTAGCAGACAACACGCCTTCTGTAGTTGGCAGCAATACTGGTTTTGTGTTAGTTTTTGACCAAAAGTATTCAAGCACTTCATGTTCTCAATTCCAAATGAACATTTCTCTTGCCAGCTCAAATCTGAAAAGCTAGGAAGAGACAATTTTCAAACTCTTCCTAAAAAGGCATCCTGGTTACATGAGCCACAGCTTAAGAAATTACCTGCCAACTGTTTTCTGCTGAAACTCCTCTCTGAACACGGATTATGTATTCCTAATAAAAGGAAAAAAATATTAGAAATGAGAACGAATAAGTTGAAGAAAGTTATTAAGTACTTCTCCAAATATGACCACTAACACCGAGAAACAGAAAATTCAGATCCTGCACCTAGGGGAAGGTCCAAGATTGGTTTGCTCACACCCATCTCTAGCAATTGTCTCACTCTGTTTCCCAGTGTGGAAGACAAGGAGAGGTCCAGGAGCTTGCACTTGAACAGTTTAATTTAGTTACAGAGAAAGACAGTAAAAGCATACTCAGCACACATCTCTACCAACAACAAGAAACCTCTCCTTACCTCACCTCCAATATCCAACAAGTACCCCCAGGAACTACTGCCACCACCATAACAGAGCAACATGCCAGTAAATAACCACAGAAGCCCAACCTCCAATTATTTTCGTACTGGAAAGGTTACCACAAAAGCTGTGGAATGTGCTTGGGTAACTAGAACATCTCAGTTTCTCATGATGGTAACTCTTCATTTATAATACAGGCTTAATGTTAAATATTTATATATTAACTATGCAGATACATCTAAATCTCAGTAAGGAACTTCTGAATTTTAAGAATTAATAATTCTTCCACCACAATTACATTCATAAATCACAATTTTTTTCAGTCTCTTTATTTCAAGCTCCACTGTACCTTTGTAGATCAATGCCTGGTCATAAATACAGCAATATCATTACTGGAGATTTATTCAATTATCTCAAATATAGATATGAAGTATTTTATACACCCAATCAGGTATACTTCAAGGCAGCCAGGACTTTGGTAAACAAAGTCATGTTCAGTTTGAAAACAGCTCTAAAAACACTTTTGACATTTCAAATATCATAAACAAGGCAAGTCCTTTTCCTAGAAATCCTATATTCTCCATTTTAGATATTGTTTCATTAGTAAGGAAATAAAATTATTTTGGGCTGACTGTAGTAATTGATACTTCTTTGCCGTTTGCTTACACAGAGCTCTATAAATGCTGTTCTTTTTAAAGTCTTATTACAGAGATTATCCCACAGCCACATAATTTACATTGAAAAACAGGCTTGGCTGGGGTGGCAGGACCCTGCACTGGGGCTCAAAGTGCCACTAAACCCCCCAGGCTTCCCCAGGGAATGAGCACAATCACACCACGCACCTGGAGCTACACATTCAAAGGGAGAATGAAAAATTCTGAGCCAAACACAAATTCACACCAGGGCTCACAGCATTCCCAAGCTGGAACACGCAAAAAGCTCCCTGCACTTGTGCCAAGCGACGCACGAGGACCCACCAGCCCCTGCCTGCAGCGCAGCAGCACATGATGCACCACTGTCAGCCAGCTCAGATGACTTCATTCACCCCGGGACAAACTTTAAAACATGTTTTATGTAAAGTGCTGAATAATTTTTCCATTTCAAATGCTATTTCGCTGAATTGCTCACATCAACAGGAGTCTTACACAAAAAGGACTGATCAGAGCATTATGCACATTTCCAGATATTAAAATTTATGCTGCGTTCCAAATTATTGTGAACAAACAATAAGGAAATAACAACAAATAAACAAAGGTATTTCCTGCACCTTGTGTTTAATGCCAATTTGTCCATTCCATAACAATAACTCTATCTGACATGCCTACCAACTAGATAATTCAATTAACTGAGCACTTGATTCATGAAGTATTATAAACTCAGGTTCACAGTTAAGAATCCCCTTCATGCACTTTTAAGTATCTTCTTTCAGGCACTATGAAGTGTCTTCTGGTTTTGGAATTTGCCTTCCAAACCCCACAAAATAATTCTCCTCTTTAAAATGAAATTAAATTAAAAACTGTTACACTGAAAAACATAAATGTACCATTGGAGCAAACAAACAAAGTGCGGCACATCAGAGAATCCCTCCACAGAATTAAATTCTCATTTAACATCTACCAAGTAATTAGTGTAAATCAAGAATTATGACTCTTCCAGACAAGAGGCAAAGGCAACACTTACCAGTTGGTATTACCTTATGTGTTCAACCTCACCTAATCCAGATTTTATTTTCTCAAGTTTCCTTCCAAAGCCCAGTGCTGCTGAGTCAAAAATGCTATGCATTTTCTAAAATTCACTTAAAATATCCTCTATTGTCAAAGCTGTCAAATATCTGTAGCAAGTTTGAACCACCTAGCCTTGAGAAGAAACAAAACTAGTAAGCATGAAAATCAAAGTGATTTATCACATTTCTTGTCCTAGCAGCTTAGATGGAAGTGACAGAAATTCAAGATGTCACAAACCAAAACACGTAACTCTTATACTAGAATTAGAGTGTCTATTTTCAGAAAATCAGCCTTTCATGCTCACTTCATATTCTCTTCTCTCACCCATTTGAAATCATAATTATGGTATCTTCCTGCAAAACAAGAAGCCCAAATCCTCATAAATAGTAACATAAATCCACAGAGCTGATTGTAATTCAACCAGTGTAATTATGTTTGGAAACTGTATGACAGAAATCAATTAAAGGGACACCTGGAAACCCATATTCACCACTAAAGTGGCCTTTCCTGTTTTGTGAGCATTTCTGCATTTTGGGAAGTAGGAAGAGGCTACTTCACACACAGACAAAAAACTGCAACAACTGCTTATTCATCAAGTCTCAAAGGAACGTTGGCAGTTCCTCTGAAAAACCACGTCAGTGATGATTCACCACGTGCAGTCATTCATCTTTTCTAGGATTTTGAAAGAAGCAGAGTTACTGCTCAATCCCTTGTAGCATTTACTCTTCCTCCAGTGATTATCATTTTCTATTGTACCCCAAGAAAGCGCTCCCAGGCAGGCAGAACACAAACTCATTAGACAACCATCAAAGCATCTTCTTGCACACACCACTCTGGTCGACACAGCAGTCAGCTCTTCTGGAGAGCCCAGAGATAAACAACTCAGGGCTCAGAGCCCATTCTCACAGGAAGATTATATAAAAAAAGACCATATTTGGGCCACAACTAATTTTCCCTACATATACTTGAGCATTTTCCCATCCTGTTCTGCCTTGATGCCCTAAAACACTGACTGTAATGAATAACTGTCCAACCTGTAAATCTAATGAAAAAGCCTAAACGCTCTTCTGGGTTTTGGGGTATTTTTCCCCCTAAGTTGATAAGGAGATTGAAAGTCAACGAATAGCTGTAGTAGAAAAAACAGGATAAGAAATACAATCCCATTCCCAGTGTCTGTCATGGCTACACATAATCAGCAGACCATAGTATCCTAAGTTTTAGTGAGAAGTTGATACTTCCTATTGCCTCTGCGTGGCAACAAGCTTGTTGTGGGATTATAATTAGCACCACTGATATATGCTTCCCAGAGGACCAGAGAAGAGCTTTCAACTCTTCAAGCCTAAATGCACAAAAGCCTTTATTACTCTGCCAAATTCTGTTTTGGTTAGGGAAAAAAAATCTGAATTACAACAATCTTCTTCTGACACTGCCTGATAGTGGGACTGAGACTGTGCCCATAGGAAACACATAAAAGCATAGGGAAAACAGAGAGGCACGGTCAGGATCATTTCTGTTTAGCTGCATCATCCAACCCAGGAAAACAGAATGGAAAAGGCTTCAGAAAGGGCTAGTAATTACCAGAGTTCACTCCTGCCAACAATTTTAGGAATCAGCGACCAGGCTCGGTGAGGTCTAGGTTAGTTACATTCATGCAGAAACTCCCATGGCATCTTTCACTCCTACATGAATAACTCAGAATCTTTCCTATGACTCAGTTTACCAAATAACTTCAAAGGAGCCCTAACAGCTGCTGGTTGGCAAAGAAAGGTCTCAGCTTTCACAGGAGAGACAACAGAGAGACAACAGAGAGACAACCTCCCACTACTGATTTTGCCTGCGGGCAGCAAGGTCACTGCCAGCAGCTACACAGGAGACACGAGACAGGCCACACAACCATTCCCAACACAACCTCCATGGATCCCTCCAGACCCCCCACATAGGTAAGGTTTGTACATCTGCTCCTCTTCGTACCAGTACTGCCAACCAGCTCCTGACACAACCTTGATATTCCAGCAGCAGTTCAAAATACATTTTTAAAGATGCCAAGGAAAGCAGTTTTACCTATGGGATCATTTCCTGGCTGCTCCAATTAGTCAAAAAAGAGGAAACTGGTGCCAGGAGGAGGAGGTTTGGAGCAGGGAAAGCTGTATGACCCCAGTTGCACACTGTTATTTTCTAAAATCTTCTTGCTATCACTACAGAGTTCTGGATAGAGTTTCTGAAAAGGAGTATTCTCCAAAAATCCACATGGATCAGTGATGACCACATTGCATTTCTCCAGTCCTTTGCCAGTAACAGTTTCACAATCACTGAGTGGGATTACCATTATCCTGAATTTACCGATTTTCATGCAGAGCCAACATTTAGGTGTTTTTTTCCCCCAAATTCACCAAGATTAGCCCCTGGTATTCCAGCACTTATTAAAACACTAGCATCAGCAGCTCAGCACTGCTCAGCAAAATTTTGTTAACATTCCTATGTGCAAATCATATAGCAAAGTATGTTCAAATGTTTAACAACTGCTGTTTACCACCATTCCTAGTTTTTGAAACAGGAAGCAAACAGGAAAGAAGGCTTTTGTAGAGACAAAATAGGAAAGAACTAATGGTGAATTTAGAGATTCTTAAAATAAAATGTAGAGTGTCACCAATATTGGGAAATACATTCTGTTTTGCCAAGAAACTAGTCTCTAAATTTCCAGCTCAGGACAGTCAGCCTGTTTTTCCACTGATTTCTGCTGTATGTCTGTTTAATCCAACAGGCTTGAAAAGCCAACCATTATAAAGATCCAGGTCACCTTCAGGTCACATCAACTAAAAGTTTGGAAGGGCTTTATTCTATAAGCATTAAAGAGAGGAAAGCCTAATTAAGCATGAATACAATCCCTGCTTAAGTAGGCTGGATTGGAACAATTTCTAGTAAGAAGCTCTTTTAAATGTTTATTTAGAAAATCTCCCATGTGAAAAGTAGCAACAAGACCAGGAAAGCTGCTCAGCCTCAGAGACCTCTCTGTT